AGTCATATTAAGGAAATAACTACAAAATATATGTATTAAATTTCCAGTTCTCTGTTTTCTGAAAACTAGAGAATGAATACATAGTTAAAAAAAAACTGATATTTTAATAAAACATGTTTGAAACTTTTGCACATACCTAAATATGATAGAAATTGAAGGAAAAACTATTTGGAAAGTAATTTTGGACTCATTTTTTTTTTATTTCAAAATAATCAGTAAATAAATCAGATTTACTTTGTTTATACTAGTCAATGTTTAGTCATGCAAATTGTTACCATTGAAATAAAGAGGAGATTCCAAACTTGTTTTTATGAGTTAAACTCAGTAAATAAATATCAATATTGAAATAAAAAAGATCAGTAGTATTAAATGTTAATTCAAAATTCGAAAAGCAAACATAGAATTTTCACTTATAAAAATGATTTTATCATATATCTCATGTATCATGCAAGTTCCTTTTTTGAGAGACCAAATTACAATATAGACTAATTCCTTTTCCTCTATCTCGTTATCCCATCTTCTGGTTAAATAAGTTAAAAAAGTAAAAAAGAATGATAAAAGTATCATTAGTAACGCTAAAAAACTCATTGCGTAAGATGTGTAGAGCCATAAACAACTGAACAAGAAGCAGCTAAAAGTATAAACAATAGAAAAGATTCATATTCACTATGTTTGCATTTTATAATACAATGATACTAACTAATATGTGAATATTACATGCATTATTATTGGATACAATGGTTATTGTAGGATACTTTTTGGTTGGGATTTAGGCCTTGAATAGATTAACCCAATCAACAGAATAGACGTGAAAATTAAATAAAAATGAAATAAATCAAGTATTATAAACAATAAAAGTTTTATTTCAAAATACAAATTGTTAAAGTCAGCAGTAAATCTCTTTGAAAGATGTATGTATATGTAAACAAAAATCTTGCCCAATTAAAGAGACGTTAAAGTTAAAGTTAAAAGTTAAGTTAAACTTAAATAAGATAATATAAAATTTGTCAAAAAAAGTACTTAAGTGTTCTTTGATGATGTCTTTGGGTTGATGTGAGAGAGGCAAGTGGTCAGTCACTGGAGTTGAGATTCCTTTGAGTCTTTGATTCTTTGGAGTCTGTTTTCCCTTCTGAGTTTTTGATTGAAAAAGAGCTCTCTGTATGTTTTGGGGATCAAAAGGGGTTCAGCCAAAATCATTTATTTGGGCTTTTGATTGTTTAAGACTTTTTATTTGTTAGAATTTCTTATTTATTCATTTTTAACCGGAATAAATGCGTCGAGCCTCATGCGCACAAACCATTTTACAATATTATCTCTGAACATTTTAGGGTTAACATCCAGTTCTCTGTGTTTATTTAGTATCACTACAAGTTAAGTAAAACATCAGTTTTATCACAATCATGTTTAATTTAAATACAGCTATATTTTTTGACTACACTAATAAATCAATAGTTTGAGGAAGGTGAAGCCAGGGCCAACAGTACATACGCTAATTTTATATCCCATGTATGATGTGACCACTTTAAAATTATCTTCAAAATTAGGTTTTCAAAAGTCGCATGATACACAAGTATATGGTAATTGAAATCTAAGCATTTATTTGTGCAAACTATCTGATTAATGGAAATCTATGCCTTGATCTAATACCCTTGGGAAAGCCTCTTCTTCTCCCCCCCCCAGCTATGGGTAAATAGCAGGACAGACTGGGTTTTATAGCATTCAATAGCAACTGGTTTACCTCAGAAAGAAATGGCAACGTCAGTCATGTATCAAAAGGAACATGATCACCTAAGCATGTATCACACATGGCACGTAACTGACTGATTCCTTGATCTCTCCAGACATCGTACTATCTAATTCATGGTTATCTCAGCATTGATCTGTCTAATCACATTGACTAATGAAAATCTAAGCATTGATTATCTCCAGAAATCATACTATCTGATTAATGGAGCTTCAAGCATTGATCTCTGTTGATTGATTGATTGATTTTTTTTGGCTTATTTGCAGGTTAATTGAAGCCATAAAATATTTTTAGATTGTAAGTTTGTTTTTTTTTGAGATAATGATTTACTGATACAAGTCCTACTAATTAACCCCTAGATGGAGGGAGAAGAGGTGGATTCATATCTTTCTGAAGGGTATTTGTGAATAAGTGAATATAATGAACCTGACTGGAATTGGAACTCGGCTGTCTGATTTCTAATTTTGAGCTGTTATTTATTATATCACCTGTACATCCAAACTTACAGCACCTGGTATTCCCAAGTGGTCACTCATCTAGGTACTGACCAGGCTTGATGTTGCTTAATTTCTGTGATTTTATGAGAACCAGTGTTATAACATGTGGCTGTAAGCCCATTTATCTCTCCAGACATCACACTGATTAATGAAGATCTAAACATTGGTATCAATCTAGAGATATCTCTAGACATTAAATCTGATTAATGGAAATCTAAGCATTAGTTTCTCCAGATATCAAACTGGTTATCATCTTGTCACTTACTAATTATACATATCCAGCAGAACATGAAATGAATATATGTAACTTTTTAAATTTCAGAAACTGAAGAGAAATCCCTAATTTTGAATCTTTTTAAAATATTCTATTTTGTTTATATTGCAAATGTGATTCTGTTTGAAAAATGTGCCTGTTTATGTGTGCATGAGATTATGCCTGTCTTATTTAATGAAGATTATTTATAAAATGAAACTTAAGAATATATCTTGTATCAATCGTCACATCTTATTTGAACCTTTTAATTCCTCTTCTATATTAGTATATACAGAATGAGCTAAACTTTCGATATAGCATAAAATATTCAAGAAATACTTTGCTTATTCATCCAATGACAATAGTAATTCTTGGATTTTCTTTGAAGATACATGTTAAGTTAGATACTGTATATAATTTGACTAATTACTAGAAATACTGAGTTTTACACTTTTAGTCTATGTTCTGAGAGGAGGAAGAATGTAGTTGCCTATTAATAATTTTTCCTATTTAAATATATTTTTATCAATATTTTATTTATTCAAACAAAAGTTAGAGTTTTTTTTTTCAACTATGAAATTTGCCCTATTTTCTGTTGTATTTTTTTGCACATTTACTTTCTTCATTTAGTTATAATTGTCAATACATTTAGTAAATATTACTGATTTTTTCCTGGGCAGTAAAAAACAAATAGGTAAATTTGAAAATACGTAAATTATAAAATCTCCCTCCTTTTATTTTTCTTTGATATCTACTTCAGATACTTATGACTATACCTGATCAAAATAACCATGGAGATAAAAAAGAACAAGTAAAGTCAATTTTCTGCCTTTAGCTGAATTTCATCAAAATGTTTTTTGTATACAGCCATTTGTAGATTTGCAATTTTTATGGGTGGAAATTTTAAAGCTTTTAATGCAGATTGACTTTGGAAATTGGAAATTAATGGTTGACTTGAAATTGTGCTGCAGCTTCTAAAAACTGATATTATTACTTTGCTTGATAGAAAAAACCATTAGATATTATATTATATTTAAATATATTTTGTAACATTTTTTCCAGATTCATGAAATGGAAGAATATGCACCAGAATTTTACAAGCACACATTCTTAATGGTGAATAAAAAATATGAAGATGATGAGCATCAGGAAAAGATAACCAATATCAATAATTAAAGAAGAATCTTAACTCTCCTCCACAAAAAAAAAAAAAAAATTTTTTTTTTTTTAAATCTGAGAACTGTTTGTATTGTTACTGTCTTGGTCTATTATATTTTAAAAAGTCCTTATTTTCTCTCAGTATATTTAGATAATACTTCTATCATCATTTGGCTATTTATTTATTTTTTTATATTCTTGATTCTCATAATACTATAAAACCCTTCCTATCTGAAGTAACTATTCTCTGATATAAGACACTGTAAAATAAGAAAACTATAACTCACAAGTTACCCATGATTACACCTGAATTATATTTTTGGTGTTAGGTATTATGTAGAATTAAAAATAAATAAATAAAAACAAAATAAAATACTGTTATAATTTAGAGAACTGATAAAATAGTTCCAGCCAAATTGAACATTTTTTAAACATTCTTTGATACATTTGATATAGAATAATTCTTCAAGTTTAAAATTGCATCATTTTCTTATAGTAGATTCAAATTCACTGTTAAGTATACTTTAAAAAATTACTTGTGGAATCTAAAATATAGTAAATAGTTTTACTTTGTAGTTACACTGCCAGCTTAATATTTGTCATATCTTTAAATCTATGTTAGAATAAATTATCTCATATGAAATATTCTTGTAAAAATATAAGCAAACTAAATATTTTTTATATATTTTCTGATATAGCTGAAAGTTACAGCTTCATTCATTTTGTATCAAACAAAATACTTTTTCAGTTTCATTTTCAAACTAGTGCTAAGAATAATTTACAAATTTTATAAAATAAAAGCATATATACATTTTTTTAATGTAATGTATGAGAAAGAATAATATTTTTTTTGCTTTTTACAGCCAAACGCAATCTCTTTATTATTATTGATGGTTTATTTTTCAAGTACTTTGTCTCAGCTTTACTACACTAAAAATAAGTCTGTTTGATATATAAAAGAAAATGTCATATTTGTAAATTTAATCACATTCAAAAACATAAAATATTTAGAATGGTTGAGAAAATAAATTCTTGCTTTTTTTTTTTTACCAAAGATACACTGAAACAAAGTACATTTCTTCCAATGATCCATTTGTAACTTGTTGGGTTGATTTGTTCTGGTAGTAATGTTTTAAATGACATTACCTGAGAACTGGTACCATTTTTCTTAAATTTCTGTTGCAGATTTTCAATTTTAAAAACTTTATTATGTTCAGAAATTAATCATTACTTTCTCATCTCAAACTGTAAATTGTTTCTTGATTTTAATATAAAATGTTCATTATATTTTGAGATATTGTACTAACAAACAAAATTTATATAATAGCTCCAATATTCAACAATCAAGATGTATCAGTCAATATATTTACTAGGAAAACAGATTTCAAACTATGAGTCCAGTAGTCGCCCTTCCCAACCAATTGAAAATTGGAAAAATGGCTCTCCTCCTCCCTCTCCACCTCCTAACCCATCCACCCCTACCAGCAATGTAAACAATGATGTCAAGAATAGTACACCAAATCACCAAGAACTTGGTGACCACCATCATCAGAGTCACACCTCCCATCAACATCATCATGATTCTGAAGAAGCCTGTGACACTGACCATGGTGCTGGCCCTGTTGAAGACAGCAGTAGGCCATTCCGTTGTGAGATCTGTCGGAAGACATTTTCAAGGAGAGCCAACTTATTAAACCATGAACGTGACCATTCAACAGAAAGTTTTAAAAATCTTGCTTGCAGTTTCTGCAACAAAGTGTTTAGCCAACGTGCCCATCTTCTAAGCCATGAACGTATTCATACTGGAGAGCGGCCTTTCCATTGTGGAGTGTGTTCCAAGTCATTCAGTCAACGAGCTCACCTCCAGAATCATGAACGTATCCATTCAGGGATCAAACCATATGTATGTTACATCTGCCACAAGGGTTTTAGCCAGAAGGCACACCTCACCTGTCATGAACGGATTCATACAGGTATCAAACCATATGTGTGTGTTTGTGGTAAAGCATTTGTACAGCGAGCACATCTTATTATCCATGAACGGACTCATACAGGTTTAAAACCCTACCACTGCAATTTCTGTGACAAATCATTTAGCCAGCGAGTACACTTGGCCAACCATGAGTGTATCCATAATGAACAGAAATCCTATACATGCTATGTCTGTTCTAAGAATTTCAATCAGAAATCTCTTTTGCAGAATCATGAAAAAATTCATTCAGTGCCGGAATCATATGAATGTGCAGATTGTCCCAAATCATTCACCCAGTGCTCTGAGTATAAAAAATATGAAAGCACTTGCTGTTGCATGAAAACATGTGATTGTAATTTGTGTTGCAAAAAGAGTTTCACTCCTCCACCTGCACTTCCATCAACACAGCAACCCCTACAAGCTATTAATCACAGTAGTTCTAAAAATGGGAAGAATAAGTTACACTATTGTGATATTTGCAAGAAAGGATTCACGCAAAAGGCTAATTTGAGTATCCACAAATTAATTCATTCTGGGGAAAAACCATTTAAATGTGAAACTTGCCAACGTAGCTTCACACAAAGAGCCAATCTTAAGAAACATATGTTTACCCATTCAAGTGAGAAGCCATTTCATTGTTCTGTGTGCAGCAAGGGGTTTGCACAGAAGGTTAATCAACAAAAACATGAACGATCTCACAGCCGTGAGGAAAGAAGAGCAGCAGCCATTGCAGCAGCAGCAGAAGCTGCAGAATCAGTTACATGTGTCACATCAGTGACAAGTACAACAACAACAACAACAACAACATCATCATCATCATCATCATCATCATCGTCATTGTCATCAAAAACTTTGTTGTCATCCTCCTCCTCATCATCATCATCATCCCCATTACTGTCATCATCTACTGTCAGAACGTCTCAGCACCACTCACGGTCTCAACCAACTCACTGCCAGAAACAGGCTCAATCTCAGTGTTCCTTAAATGCCTCCACCACTTCTTCAGCTAGAAATGGGTCTAATATGAATCGATCAGCTTCTATGACTTTGTCATCACTAACATTGGTTACTACTTCTCCTTCTGTATCCAGCACAGTATCAAGTGTCGATGTACCAGTTTCACTGCAGTCATCATCAACATCATCTGCTAGCCAGCTAACTCATCCAAGCAATAGCACTAATGATCCGCCTTCATCATTGCCTCCTTCTTCTTCACCATTACCCCCTCTTCCTGCTCCACCACCCTCTTCCCATTCCCTCAGGCTGCAACCCATTGGCTTATCCCCTTCATGGATGAGTTCAGCCTGTGCACATCAGATGGAGGTACCTTCCTGGGAAAACAATTATAGTTGGTCACGTGGTTTTCCAGTGGGTCCACGATGGAGTCCTGTTTGGGCAAATGCACCTTCTTCTCTGTCATGTAGTTCTCGTCCAGGCAAGCAAGCATCTAATCGTTCACAGACTGGTCAGCAAGCTGGGGTTATGTGACAAATTAAGGAGGGATTTAAATGCAAGAAAAAAAAGAAGAAAAAGCCCTCATGTGATTTATCAGAGATGAAAAAAATTTTCCGGCTACTTTCTAAAAATCCAATTTAAGAGATTACCTATTTTCTCTGTTTTTTTTTTTTCCTTTGAGATGCAATCCGTTAAATTTAAACTTAAAATTTTAAATAAAACAGAAAGTTGATTGATTCATAGACTATTGAATTCTAATTTGTGCTAATAATGTGCTAAAACTGAAGTTTTAAAATTAATTTTTCGAGGCTCAAATTTGATTTGATAGTATTTTTTCCTACATTTATTTGCGGTTTTGTTGAAGATCAATCATTTATTATGTTTAGAGTTGAGCTCTCAACTCTAAATACTTTTTATTCCTGTCTCAGAAAAACTATTTAGATATTTTTTTTAATTCCCCTGATCTTGACTAAGTGAAATTAGGTTTCAATGGCCTTTTGTGTCTGATAAATTATTTACTAATAGCCAAATATTTTAATTTTAATATTTAACATGAAAGAAAAATGCTATTTCTTTATGAAGAATATATCTCTGATGAAAATCCAACCTGCTGACATGAACCTTGAAACATGTTGTTTACTCTTCTTGACATTGTTTTCCTATAAAGATACATTATTCTTTACATCTACTAAAAGGGACTGAATAAAAAATTAATGAATTAATTCATTTCATAAGTGTTTTAATTTATTTGTTTTGTATGAATATTTTTTCCTGTCAAATCTAATAAGGTTGGCTCAAAATAAGTGTTGAATAAATTAACAAGAAAATTTAGTAAGAAACTGAAGGAGAAAATAGTTAAGCAGTGTATACCCAAATGTATTAAATTAATGAATATCTAAAGAGTTTTTTTTTTTTTAATATTTCCTTAATAATGACATAGTTAAAAAATAGATATCAAAGACAATATTTGAAAAATAATAAAATTTTATTAAAATAATATGGATGTATTGATAGCATAATGGTTATCAGTATAAAAAGGAAACCAGGAAGCAGTGTTCAAATTTTGGCCAATATTGCATTCACTTTACATTAATAACCTTGGAAAAGATAATCCATCTCTAACTGACAGCCAAATTAACTGTCTAGTTTTGATCAGTCTAGAAGGACAATTCTGAATTCAAAATAGTTGGAAATTGGATGAGAAAATCTGCTGTGTAAGACTATTTGCTCCTGAGACCACAGTAGTATCACTTAGTATGGTGTTATGGTAGACCTATACCTAAAGAGGAAAGTTCAACACAAAAAATAATTCAAATATGGTTGTATATTAACATTTTTTTAAGAATTTGATTTTTGATATTTACTTGGAATTTTAATTTTTTTATATTTATTTGAAATTTATTTCTGTGAACTTCTAAATGTATATTTTTACATTTAAAGTTTTTCCACTTTGTTTTCATTGTTGGTAAAACAACTTGAGTGGAATAAACAGTTATTAATTATAAAATGAAAGCAGAAAATATTTTTGGTATTAAAATTTTTTTTTCAATTTACTCTTTATTCCATTAATTCTAAGATAAGCATATTCAGATATTTAACAATAGATATAACTTATCATTTTCTTGTCAACTCTTTGTTTATTTATAACTTATAAGTTGTATGTATTTGTGTATTCTCTTTCTCCTTCTCTCTCTCTCTCTCATATATAATAATAAAGATTATGTTTAGCCTAAAAAAATAGGTTGACAAATATATTTCTGGAGGATAGTACTTTTAAGATAAGCATGTTTTTGTAATTAAAGTGCTCAATATCAAGTGGCAGCATTACTGTTCAATTTTTTGGCTTGATACAGAAAGATGAATTGAAAATTTAATTTGATTTGTTGCTAAATGAAGACTGATGAAAAGTTCCAAGACTGACTCACTTTCCAAAATCTGACCACATATCAGAATTTTGGTCAGTTTATGAACTTTTCAGCACCCCATTATACCATCAAAAAATACTGAAAGGTTTCTATAAGGTTTGTCATCCTACTACAGTAAAAAAAATACTACAGAAGATATTTTCTTAATTTGCATCAAATTTCTTGTTCCATTGATTAGTTATAAACTATTTAGAATTAATCTTATATATTTTTTAAGTTCATGATTGAAAAGTGTCAGTTTGAGGATATTTTAATTCTAATTCTAATATTTAAAATTTTTCAAATATGAAAAGATTGCCTATTTGTTTATATACTGAGTATAATGTAAACTGATTGCATAAAAATATCTATTGAAGTGATTTTTTTATTTAATCTAAATACTTTTGTTATCTAATGTGATAAGTATATAATTTCACTTTTCTGTGAATAGAATCATACAGTAAAAAATGGAGATGATTCTTGCATATATGATCTTTAAAATTAAACATTACTTCAGTACATAACTTTTTCTTAAAATTTAAAAAAATAATATGAATTTTTTAAGAGCAAGTAACACATGACTTATTAATTATTGTGGATGAATTTGCAAAAATTCATTAAAATCTGATAATTATGAAAGTTTTAATCATTTTCTTAATGTTTTATCTGATCAGAAGAGATGATAAACAAAAGTACTTATTGATAGAAGAAAATTTTTTTTTCATAAAATATTTTTTTAAACATCATAGCTTCATTTTTAAAGAATGCTGCAAGACATTTTGTAAAATATTATGTAATGTGTCCATTATAAATTAACTTTTTATGAAGAATTTAATTTTTTTTAAGCATTTTTAACATGAGATTGGTTTTTGTTAATTTTTTGTCTATACCTTATATGAGATGTTGGTGAAAAGTCCTTCCCTCCAAAATTGTGATGTTTGTACATTTTATCAAATACTAGGAAGTGGGTTGAGCTGAGAATGTTTGAGCACCTCCTTGTTTGTGTGTGTGTATGGATTTTTTTAATCAGACATTATCTTGTATTACTATAAATGTTATTTTAATGGATAAATGTTATTTTAATGGATACACATATTTGAGTTGATATGTGTTTCTTTTAAATTTAACTGTTTAAAAAAAATAATAAGCAAGGTATTTGAATGTGTACCCATTAAGATAAGGTTTATTTGAATAATATATATATACATATATATATGACATCACACATTATGAAATGGACAAAGTCCGACAATTATTTCAAGACATTTTTATAAAAAAATGTATAAACATAAAAATGTCTTAATATATATACATATATATACATATATATATCATTGAGTCATAAATAATTTCCATTTTTGGCAACCACATGTAATGACAAATGCATCACCCTAAGTATTAATCATATATGGCAGTTAAGAATGAATTTGGAGATCAATAACATACCTTAGTTTTTGCATGGCAGTGGCAGTGTATACAGTGGATGAAAATAAAATGTTATTCTCCGCCATGACAATGGAATGTCACTTGCTTGATCAGTTCTATCTCACTTGAAATTGCACTAAAGTTTCAATTACTGCAAAACACTTTAATGCGGAAAACTTTCTCAAATGAAAACCAGATTCAAGAGTTTGTTGGAAACATAAGATCAAAACCTGCAGAATCTTACTGAAAAAGTATTGAAGATTTGGCTAATAAGTGGCAACAAGTCATTGCAAATAATGGAGAATATATAATTGAACATTAAAAACATATATTTGAGCAGCAACCTTTCTTTCAAAGATGTTTTGTTGAATATGACAAAGAAAATTTTATTAATTTCTTGGTGATTTTTTGTAGCATTCTTAAATTTTTCTATTTGGTGCAGGTAAGGGAATGTAAAAATTGTCTGTAGTATTTATTGTACCAAATGTTTTTGGCCAGTTCCTTAATGATTTTCAAAACACACACACATACATTTTATATATATATATATATATATATATATATATCCAAACAAGTTTGATTAAAAAAGACCAATAGGTCTGTCTGTTTAATCTTTTGTTATATTTTTCCAATTTTTGGATAAGGTTTTGTGTATTGGGCTTGAAATTGTGGATAAACTTCTCAGAAGTTAATATTTTGTTATTTAAGTACTTTCAAATTTCGCAGTCATTATCAAGAATCAATGTGGTGCCTGTGTGGTAGTTAGAAATCCTTTGTCTGCATGCTGGTATTATTTGGGATGCTGGACATTTGAAATAGTCTAGCGTGATGTCATGTGTAATGGTTATTGGGAAGGAGGCCACACAAAAATAATGCATTTTATTTATTTACATTTAATTTAAATTTTTATTTTATTTTTTATTATTATAATACTGATAAAATATGTGGACACATTAATTACATTATACACATTCAAGGTACCTTCTCTTGTGGTGAATGATATTTTATTTAACATCTGCTGTTTATTTTGTATAATAATAGCTTCTAGAATTTTGTTTCCTTCCTTGGATTCTTTTTTGTGGCCACGTTCCCAATAGCCGTTACACATTACACAGACAGTTTGTCCACAATTTTGAGCACAATACTTAACATCTTATTCAAAACTTGGAAAAATACAATAAAAAACTAAAAAGACAGATTTAATCAGATGTTTGGATGAATATTTGTTGCCTAAATATACTTTATATATAAATGGATAGTATTATGGTTATTTGTGTGGACAGTGAAATCACTGAGCTGGGTTCAAATTTTGGTTGATTCTGTTTCACTTCATGCTAATACCCTTGCAAATGGTATGAATCTAGCTTCCTCCAGCTATAGGTTAAATAGAAGAGCAGACAAGGCTCTCTCACTTTGTATGGCAACCAGTCAAGAATGCTGAATTTAAACCTAAGGAGTGTTAGAGACATTGTGGCACTCCATGCACTATTTCTGTTATCAGTTCTTTTAAAAATTGTAGCTCATTCTACACCAGCCTACACCACTATAATTAAACCATTTCTCTGGGTAGTCGAGCAGGTCAGATCCAAACTAAGCTCTTTAGTCCTCATGTGATGAGAGAATCCACTATATATATATATATATATATATATATATGTGTGTGTGTGTACACACAGACACAGCAATTGTGTGCATCAAAC